TTAGAACACTGGCAGCTCTGAACGACTAGCCAAGGGAGAATGCAAAGCCCTAATTTCAAGTCCCAGTGGTCACACCACACACACACACACACACACACACACACACACACACACACACACACACACACACTAGCTCTACCAAATTTAACAAGCATTTTCTCAAAACTAAAAGCCAAAAGGGCTGATATCATAGCTCCAGAGTTCAGGTTGTAGAGCCCTTGTTAAGTAGGCCTTGGGTCCAATCCCCAGTACTGCAAATAGGTAGAAAGGTAGAACAGAAGAAGGAAAGAAAACAGAAAAGAAGGAAGGAAGAAGGAAAGAAAGGAAGTAAGGAAGGAAGGAAGGAAGGAAGGAAGGAAGGAAGGAAGGAAGGAAGGAAGGAAGGAAACTTATATAAGCAGATGTTATTAGGATGTTCTTGTGTAACTCAGAAGGCCAGAATACTGACAAGAAAGTAGACAGTAAAACCTCTTCAGGAAGAAAGAAAAGAAAGAAGGAAGGAAGGAAGGACAGGAGAGAAGAAGAAAGAAAGGAAGAGGAAAAAATATGCTTGCTTCAGGTCCTCATTGTACCTTACCCCTTACCCTGTTTGCATTAGTTGTTTGTTTTGTTGTTGTTGTTTATGGAGAGCCTTGCATTTTCCTCCATGCAAACCTTCAGCCATTATCCTGCTATGACTTCTTGCTTGGCTAGGGTTGCAGATTTGAACCACCATGACTGAATTATTGAGATAAGATCTCAATAGTATTTTACCCAGGCTGGCCTCTAATTGTGATCCTTCTTAACTCCATCTCCATATTGGATTATAGGCAAGAATATCTCTATGTTTATGTGACAATTTAAAAGTATATGTGTATTAATCTTTGGTTTGCCTCCTGGGGGGGTGGAGGGAAAGGGGGCAGCCGGGGAGAGGGGAGATGAGAAGGGATGGAAAGGGGAAAAAAAGGAGGAGGCAACAATGTTTGATAAGAAATATACTCATTACCTTGCCCATGTAATCGTAACCCCTCTATATGGTATTTTCACAATAAAAATAAATAAATTAATTAATTTAAAAAAGTATATATGATACTTTCAGATAAATCAATGAGAAAGGGTGCATCTACCACAGTGTATTAGAAGTTTACTGCCAAGGAAGCTACAGAGACACATATATTGAATTCTAATGAACATCTCTGGCTCAGATGAATGCTGGTTGGAAACATCTATTTACATAGCCAGAGTTTGATAAGCTCTATACTGATTTTTGTTTATATTTCTTATATGAAAAACTTTCATCAATGAATGATCTAATAGTAATATTACCATACTTATAAGGATTCACTTCATACCCCAAAGCATCTGGAGTTATACATATAATTTTGCTATAAACTATCATTCCCACTGAAACACCCTGAAGAATACAATCCCAAGATTACTTTCGATGATATTATTAAGAGACTAAGGTAAGGCCATGGCTCACCCATGAGCATTTGGACAGAGGCATGAAGAAAGAGCCACAGTATCTCACAAGCTGGCACTACCAGCCTGAATAGCTAGAACTCTAAGGCCCAGAAAAAGGCTCAGTACTTAAGACCTATCCACAGGTGAGAATTGCTGCTTCTCTCTCCCTTAGAGACACTCAGTTAGCTAAGGAAATAGGACAGGCCTTGTTTGCTATTTGACCTGTCTGGATGGAGCACTATCCTGACAGGAATTGGCTGAGCTGTTAATAAATGATTAATAAGCCATCAAGAGTAAATCTTCAAAACTGAAAAATAAGGATGTCTCAATTCTGAGCTCTGACAAAAACCAAGTCCAGAATCATTTTTTGTGCGAAATATCTCTGAGCCTGGACTCCTTCAAATGTAAAATGCAATGGTTCTATGGGTGATCACAGATGGTTTGTAATGGAAATTAAATAAGAGGATCTGGGCAAAGCAGGTGGCAGATGTTTGCTTTACAAAGTGAGGCCTTATTCCTCCCCTTCTGTATTACTTTGAGATCTTAGCTTCTCATTCTTCATCATACTTTTTTGACTGGAAAATTAATCTAGCAATGAAAGCCAGTCTATAATAACACAAAATACAATATAAAAATGGAAATAATAGTCAAGAATCCATTGCTGTAAAGATATATTGTACAGAGGGGTTACAGTTACATGAGTAAGGTAATGAGTTCATTTCCTACTGAACATTGTTACCTCCTCTTTGTTTTTCTACTACCATCCCTTCCCTCTCTACCTCCCCTACTCCTCTCTCCACTCCCCCCCGCCCCAGTAATTACTGACGTTTGAACATAGCCCATGAACTTACTAGACAAGTATACTACTGCTGGAGCCATGCCATCAGCCCATTTACACTTAGTTATATTTTAGATAGAGTCCTGAATTTTTGTCCAGTTCAGACTGGCCCTGAAATGCTCCTACATCTGCTTTCCAAGTAGCTGGGATTATAGATATGTGTCATTATGCCCACCTTGGTTGTTGTTTGCTTGTTTGCTTGATTTTGATGGTACTGGGGTTTAAACTCAGGGCCTTGTACTTGACTGGGAGGTGTTGCTTAAGTTATAGCCTTAGCTCATTTTGATTTGGTGCTTTTTAAAACAGGGTCTCACATTTATACCTAAACCAGACTGAGTCACAAGACTTCTATTTAGGTAGGTATTATGCATTTCCCATTTAGGTCAGGTAACAGAAAAACACCAGTATACACAGCTTCCTTTTTAGATTGGGTCTCTCTAACTTTGTACCTAGAAGGACCTTGAGCTGAAATCCTTCCAATCTCTCCTTCCTGAACAGCTAGAATTGCAGGTCTGAGCTACTAAGCCAGGCCCAACTTTTTTTTGAGTGAGGTTCTCACTTTCTTTCCCTCCTGTGCTGGCTTTGAAGTAAGATCGTGATAATATATATTTTTGAAAGATAAAATTTTTATTTCATTTAAATGTTTAGTAAACTTATTGCTGTGTATTTATACATCTAGAATACTGTAATTTGGAAACCTAAATGTTAATGGTAGATTGATTTACATTCATATGATAGCAAGATTCTATTTAAATTTTATGTACTCTATAGACCTATATCCTCTGAAGAAAAGGTTTTTTTCATTGTAAAAGCTAAAATAATATTCTTTAAGCTTAGGTAACAATTGGTTGAGTGGTGAAGTATGTATTTAAAGTGGCCCCAAAGTGAAATTATGTTATTGTACTAGGACAAATTCCTCTCATTTGCATGGGTTGAGTTTTAAGAAATGACCTAATTAGAAGAAAAGAGGAACGCATTCACAAGTGCAACCTGATGTACAGCTGATTTTTCACCCAAGGTACTGGAGCTAATTAATGCACAGATCAAATATGTTTGTCAGAGCATCTTGGGGGAAAAATCCACTGTCTACAAGTTCTTAGCAGCAATCTACTTTCCAGTTAGTGAATCATGCATCCAAACTGTTGCTTTTCATTTATTTGCTCATATCTTTTCAAATAATTTCTGTTTTTTTTCTTTGAAAATTATGTGATAATTTACATGTCACTAAATTCATATGCTCTAAATTTATATGTCAAAGAAGTACAGTTGATACATGGTCATGATGTCAGATTGCCTTGACTACTTTAATATCCTATTTTCTCTGGTGGAAATAAGGACCTACGCTGAGACTAATGCAGTAGGTGTGCAGGAATAAAGCAAGATGTGCTCATGATAGTATTCAGCCAGTTCTCAGAGCCCAGGAGTGGAAAGAGAAGTAAATGCAGGGACAAATCTTCATGGTGGGTAAGATAGAGTGGGAATCTAGATCAGGACTCAGTGTCTTTGGCTCACTGTGGTCACCTGGTGTAGCAGTCAGGGTCACCACGCTGCCAATTCCCAGTGGCAGGAACCCTACCTGGGAAGCTGTGGCTGGGAGTTTACAACTGTCAACTAGACAAGCTGTGAAGTTGGAGTCAGTCTCTTATTACCTCTCTTGAACTTCCCTCAGAGATTCTCAGGCAGAGGACTACACCTTTGGAGGGAGTCTGAAGGGTCCAACTTATTATAGTCAATGGAATTCTGTTTTATTAGCTTCAGTACTGCTTGTCAGAGAACAGCAGTAGCAAGGTTCTTCTTTACTAAGAGAAGAGATTGTAAAGGCATGGGTGGGCGAGGGGACTGGGGAGAATTTTTCCAGCTGTGGAGTTGGCATAGGGAAACTTACACTCACAGCAAGCCTGTTGTGATCATAAAATGAGAAAACACAGAAAAACCCAGAAAAACCAAAACACAGGGAGCTAATGCAACTTGTCCAGGCCACACAGTTAAATCTGGGATCTGAAACAGAAAGCATGATCCAGAACTTGCTCTTTTGCCACCAGATTAGACTTATTTATTTATTCAGATGATTTCACCAAGAGGTCAAGAATGCATTGAACCAATTATTCTATCTGTCATAGTCTTACTAATTTTGAGAACAAAATTTAAAATATCTACAGGTGCTATATTGAAAATGAAGACCATTATTGTATCATGGATTCATGATTCATAAGATTTCCTGATTAAGCAAGATAAAGTACTTCATGATTTTAATGTATCCTTTATTCCACTGAAGAAACTAAATTTCCAGGAGTTTCTGGAACCCACTGCAAACCACAGAACTGACATTTAAATTCATCTTGTCTGGTCTCTGGGACTCCAGACTGTTCTTTACTTCTTTTTCCTCAGGCGCCCCTGGCTTCTTGTAACACAGATGCTCCCTAGCATTTGATGGCTACCTGGAAAGACAAGATCTCAAGGGCTCTACTTCTTCATTCTTTTCCTCCTCAAGTTGACAGGCAGAGGACAGTTCTGATCGACTCTCGACATTTAATTATCCAAGTTAATTATACCGAGAATCAACCAACATTAGCCATTTAAAAATTAGGGAAAATAAACAAAACACCACATGACCACCATCCTGACTTCAAACTCAAATTACTGTCACCCATTCAGCTCTGAGCGAGGCAAGGATTCAGGGGAGACTTAAAGCACCTCAGGTAATGCACCTGCCACCTACCTTTGTGCAGATGACAAGAGGAAGTGGTAGTAAAATCAGCACACTGAGCAGTACCAGAAGAAACCGACGATAAACCAAAATGTAACTAAGTAGTTTCATTGTCCAGAGCAGGTGCCTTCAATGGTGTTCTCAACATGAAGCAGACTTTAAATAACCAATCTGGATTAATATTTTCCAACACATCACCTCCACTCACTGCCCCAGACAGACCAACATTAGTTAAAATTAACTCTCATTTTTTTATTGTTTTACTATCACAATTAAAACAGAGAGATAAGCTCCAGAGTACCTGCGAGAAATCAAAGACCATTTGTTTGTGTGGCTTTTGAAAGCTAAGCTGTTCTTTCCCTTCTTGCTGTAGACACACTAGAGGGCCAAGGCGATGAAGCTGGTTCTGTTTGCCAACACTGGGTCCCCCTGCCCCTTTGTAGATCCCTGATTAGCAATTTCAGAGTCTGGCAGTGGGGAAAAAAGGGGTTTGTGGTGCTAATGGATTTTCCTGGGGGCTTCTCAGATTGGGAATTAAGATGCTTCTGCAATACTGATGACAAATTTCCCCTATAGATTGGGAGCAAAGTTCTGGGTCTCCTAAAGCCTATTGCCTATTTTGACAGGAAACTGAAAGTAACCAGAAGTCTTCATGTTTTAGATCTTTGCAGGCTTGACTGATTTTTCTGTGTTGCTATGGGCTACATAATCACCAGGTACTACACCCAGAGATAAATCAGTACAGCCACATAAGAAAATGTGTGTGTGTGTGTGTGTGTGTGTGTGTGTGCATGAGTGCGTGCACACATGTGTGTGCATGTGTATGCACGTGTGTGCTATCACATAAACACATGTTATGAACTTACGAGCATGTGTAGAGGTGAGAACTCATCCAGCTGTGAAATGGAGGATGTAGTGAAATTCCTCAGCACTTGGCTGTGCTGTGCTTCCTGATGGAAGTGAATTAATTTTCTGATAAATTTCAGCTAAACAACCGCTAGCACTCAGCCCTAGGTATTAAAATAAACAAACACACACATTTCCAGCCTTCCTATTAATTTTAACTAATTTTTCTTGACACAATAGCTTTACTATTATATAATATATGGTTAGCATTTAGACTTCATTTATACTTTCATATTAATATCGCTTTTCTCTGTCATGGAAAAGAGTTCTTTCAATAGTCACTGTATTGATATGAATGAAAAGCATTTTTCCCTCTAGAAAAAACATTAAATTTCTAGAAAAATTATACATAATGAGTCAGGAAAATCAGACTAATAAACAACAAAAATGTTTCCTAATCAGAAAGGCCCATTACATCACAATTTTTCAGGTGAAGGAAAGGATAATTACTGCATAAATAAAAATAGTCATAAATATTGAGCAATAATAAATACCAATGATAAATTATACTAAAACACATTTAAGCTAGTGAGTTACTAAAATGAGCTGAAATATAATATTTCCCCCACTAATACCTTGTACAATTCATTGTATGTATTTTTATTTCTTCATATATTTTAAAGAAACCATTTCTGTTCTCCGATTTCCTTAAGACACCTGGTGAGACCATTTGAACTTCACTTTTTCCTTTTAGAAAATTTTTGCTTTGTGAGATGAAATCAAAAATAAAAAGGCATTTGTGACATTTAACAGAAATGAAGTGAAGGGAACAGTGGCACTTACTCAAGACTGAAACTGAAGGATGAGCACTTGGCATAGACCACTCTCTTTTCTATGACTATTTTCTCTCCTAGCATCCAGATTCTATTGGAGGAAGGTTCCCAGAACCACCTTTCCTCTCTTGTGAGCTGAACTCAATTCTGTGGTCATCCATAATTACAATAGAGTTCTAATTTTCATTATCTCCACCTATTCTCCTCTTTCTCAATGGAGTTCTCTTCACTGTCACAGACAAAATAGACAAGACACAGTAACTGACATTAAATATGAATGATTAGGATGAGATGACTGTTACAAGAGTCACCAGGGAATAAACCTCTAAGAGCACAAATAATAAGTATCCTTCACATTACACCATATGGTCAGGCACTTCAGGTCAAAAGCAGCCACAAGGGTCAAATTGTGAGTTGTGCTGATAATCAATGTAAGGGGCGGGGAAATGAGTTTTTTGCACCTCTAAAGCCTGCTTTCTGGTCCTGCTTTCTTCTTTCCCTCTCCCCCTTCCTACATCTCCCTTTCTTTATTTCTTTCTCTTACATTTTTTATTAGCATTAACTAGTTATACAAAGGGATTTCATTTTGACATGTCCATATATGCGTGTCATGTACCTTGATCAGACTTTCTCTCTTTTTTCTCCTTTTTCCTTTCTTAATCTAATCTCAACAAGCTTCACTGTTCCATTCTGACCCATGTAGATACATTATTTGAATCACATTCACCCTCCATCAGCTTTCCCATTTGCCTACCTAACACCATCACCCTGAGATGAAGTTTCTCATCATGAGGCAATAGGAGACACTCCAACACTTTCACTAATGTCCACACCCCAGGCAGCTCCTATCTCAATATTTCACCTTCCTCTTCCTCCTCCTCCTCTTCTCTTCCTTCATTTTTTAGTCACTATTGTATTTCATACATAATCAAATTGACCCCTCATGTACCCTTACTTTCCCCATCCCCACTAGCCACCATTATTCAACTATCTTCAGTAAATTCCATTTATGTTTTTTATCATTCATAGATGCAATGTACTTTGGTATTGTTCACCCCTCAAACAATCCCACAGTTATAGACATGCTCTGTGTGTGTGCTTGTGTTTACCTGAATGTTTACCTTTTAGGAGTCAGGGTGATCCTTGGCTGACTACATCCCAATAACCTGGATGCTTGTCAAAAATGCAGACGTGCTGGGTGCTGGTGGCTCACACCTGTAATCCTAGCTACTCAGGAGGATAAGATTTGAGGATTGTGATTAAAGCCAGAACAGGCAAGAAAGTCAGTGAGACTTATCTCCAAGTACCTACCAGAAAACTGGAAGTGGTACTGTGGCTCAAAGTGGTCAAGCTCAGGGTCAGCACCCAGGCCCTGAGTAAAAAAAAAAAAAAGAAAGAAAGAAAGCAGATGCCTTGACCTTATTAAATCAAAATGGGACTTGGGAATTTTCATGTTTTGCTGGCTCTCTGTATTATTTTTATGCACATTAAAATTTTAGAATCGTTGACTTACTACTTGTGCCAGAAATAACATAACTTATATTGTTCACTGTTTTAATGATGCATGTAAAATCATGAATCAGACATTAATTCTTTGAAGATAAGGACCATTCATTTACTTCCCTTGATGTCTCTTTGTCCCTAGCAAAGTGACCAGACTCACTCTCTCCCTATCTCTCCTTCTTCTCCTTCTATCCTTCCTTCCAAAACCAGTCTCAACAAGGCTCTTTATTTCATTTTCATACATATATATAGTGATTTTGAGCTCAACAAGAAATGTACTCATTCCTTATTGATATAACTAAAACCTCTCTGTTCATCATCTTTACAAGAAAATAAAATTTAAGAAAAATAATGGCTTTTGGGGAATAAATAATTGCATATTATAAAATTCTGAAAGTGTGAAGAAATAAACCTCCAAGTTTGAGTGGCTAAAAAAAAGACTTTGACATAGCAAAGTTTCAGATACCAGTTAAATACTCAATGGATAGTTCTCTAAACTTGCCTTTGATTGCAAATAATTGGAAACCAGTTAGCCTCATACTTGTATAGTATGATTTACAAAGACAGTTATCAGTAGAATGTTTAGGTGTGTAAAGAGATTTGGTTTTTGATGAGAAATATGTACTCCATAGCAATAGTCCTGTGTACAAATTAAAATGGTGTATAATCAGTATAGATTTTAACTAAAAAAAATCTAAGAAAAATATAAATGTTTTCACTGTTGGCAAAAACAGCCAGGTGTATTTTATTTGTTTCAGTTATGTGTTCCTATTTTCATTCATAAATATTTCAGGTTTGCAGCTCATGCCCATGTGATTTGATTGTCACCGTTAAAAGACTATTATTTGACATGGAATGTAAAACAAGATGACACCCTGACATTCATTGGCTATAAAGCCTTCACCAGTTTGTAATTCTGAAACTCCCCCATGGTGACTTCCTATTCATATATTCTAGATATGTCCATAAATTCCAAAAACCTACAGGAACTGCATGGAAAATAGAGGTGCTACATATTAGCAGGGTTTCGAAACTAGATGCTATTCAAACTAGCAGTCATTTACTCTAGCATTTTTTAATGTCTTTAATCTCTTCAGACAGATTGATCCCTTCCTTAAGATGATAAATCCTCTTGACAAAACCAAAACATGTAGGCAATGTAGGTAAATTGATAAAAGCACACTTGTAATTCTAGCAACTGGGAAGACTAAGGCAGGAGAATTAGGAATTGGATGTTGGCTGGGTAACGTAAAGAGATCCTGTCTCAAAAGTAAATAAATAAGTAAATAATGACTGAAGGGGTGAAGGCTTAAGGGCAAAGGGATATACAAATAAAAGAGAAATGAGCAGCAAGGAAAGTCATAATCTTCGATGTGTATACCTGGAAATGGAATTTGGTCATGTGATGGGAATAGATTGCAGGGAGGGGGGAGAAGGGGAGGGCGAGAGGAAGTGATGGAAGGGATAACTCTGATTGAGATGCACTGTGCACATTCATGTACTGTTAAATGGAAACACTTTATGCAACTATTTGGAAACAAAACTCAAGAAGAAGAAGAAAATGAAATGAGCAAATAAGTAAATGGATAAATAAATAAAATACATTTCAACATCTTAGGAAAAATCATGCAAAAATGTGTTTTGACATCTTTAGTGAGTAACTATTGTCAGTTTTCTCCATTTGTTTCCCAAAACAAGTATAAAATTATTATTTAGGGCAGAATAGTCTAACCCCCAGACTGTAAGTTCAGATATAACTCCCCAAATACATCAACGTCATTTATTAACCACAACTTTCATAATCATTTCTCCAGTGCCAGGAAGTAAATGACTGACTGCATAAACACTGAACTGTGTCCTGAGAGGCAATGACCCTATCTTCCGTGAACCGAGAAGAAAAACAAATTCCTAAAGAGAATGGCCTATCTCCAGCAAGAAC